GACAGTTCTACTGGTGAATCCCATCAAACATTCAAAGAAGAAATAACAACCTCATACAAGCTGTTTCAGAGAATAGAGGTAGAGGATACTTGCCAACTTATTTTAGGAGGCCGGCATGAACCAGATACCAAAACCAGAAAAAAGATGTTACAGAAAAAGAAAAAAATCACAGACCAACATCCCTCGTGAAAACAGATGCAAAAACTCCTAACATTACAGGCTTTTAATTAATGCCAGCCCTGATATCGGGTCCCCTACCTTGAACCCAGCATAAATGGGTTAAAACCAAAAGCATTCATTGTAATTCCCTGCTTGTTTAGTTACACTCTTTTGTAAATATCTGCTTCTTTAAGCTTTGACTTCCTGAGCTTTACAAGGGAAATAGAAGTTACAAATTCTTAAAGCCCAGGTGGCCTCAGCTGGGCTCCCACTAAAGTTGTGGCTGATCACAGGTCCTTGAAGTTTATCACAGGGAAGCTGATGTCCAGAGATATCAAGAAACTAAAGCTTCTCAGGCTGAACTCCTTGGCTTCCTGGTGCCAGAAACCACCACAGAGACAGAGCCAAGGCCATCCACCTGTGAAATTCCTTATCTCCTCCTTTCCTACAAGCAGCTGAAGGCTGGTGGGAAAATGCCAGCCAGCAAGGTCACAGGTTTCCCCCTCCCCACATTCCTCACAAAGCTTTAAAACCCTTCACCCGCTTCTTAACGGGGAGCTAGCATTCTAAAGGCAGTAGCTGTTGCTTTGCTCCCTCTGCCCGGCAAAGAAAGTAAAGATGTTTTCCTTTTCCACTCAAGACTCTGTTCTCGTTATTTGGATTGGCACCGGGTTCAGAGACCGGACTTCCGGTTATGCTAACAAAGTATGAAGAAACAGAATCCACCGATGTATACCACGACCATATAAGGTTTAACCCAGCAGCACAGGTGTGCTTAACCTTCAAAAGTCAATGTGGCACAAGTGTCCATGCCTTGTGTCCGAGAGCAGCCGGTGGCAGCTCTGAGCGGGAGAGGCAAGTTTGGATCCCCACCATGGCTGTCAGTTTCAGCTACTTGAAGTCTGTGTGTGCCCAGCAACAGTATTGTCACTCCTAAAGGGATTAATATGCAGATCTAACAGAGGATGGAAATTAAGTCGAGATCAAATAACTTTGCCAACTACAGTTGATTGTTCAAAGTTCCTGGGCAGATGGGCGTTGAAGATGGACCTCCTGGGAGGAAGATGCACCCACACGTGTAAAGACGGAAGGAGGGACTGGGAAAGTGGCCACACTATGAAAAACAGCGGGAAACACAAAGGAACCCGACAATTTTAAGGACATGATAACAACTAGAAGGAAAACTGAGAAAATCAGTATCGAGAAGAGCGAACTATTAAATTTTCACCAGTCAGTTGGGAGCACAGTTTTCTCTAGTAAATTAGCAACTACACAGGATGTTCCTTTTATGCATCTATCTCCAGAATTAGGTGACAGAGAGGCCTGGCAAGAAAATACCAGTGCACGGGAAGAAGGTATGGCCTGGCGAGCAGAAGCTCTGTAGCAGCAGAAAACAGCAGACGGAGAACAAAGAACCGCAGAAAACAAAGGAAGAAAATGGAAAAGGAAGCACGGGGAGGACAGAAGAAGGAACAATGGAAACTGACCTGAAACTTTCATAACACGTCCTTCAAACGTCCTAGCGCCAGAGGAGGAATCTGAGCTCCACACCCAAACAACATTTGTGTATTTAAGAGTATTTTCAGAATGCAAACCTTGATTTTCATGCACTCATCAGGCCACCCAGCATTCCCCCAAAGTACCTTGAACTCTTGGGGATCGCGACTCAGAAGAACAAAGGACTTAGAAAATATTTTCTTCAACATGCTGCAAATATGACAATTATTTTAAGACGAATTATTATAAGTGGAATATGCCAGCACCTCCTCAAGCCGGTGTTTCTAGCTAAATAAATGGGTTCAAATAACTTTATACTGGAAGAAACCGCTGCTGTCTATTATGCTTTCCTTCAATGTGCAGAGTGATAAAATACATAATTTTAAATACTTTTTGTTTCCATGATTATGGAGAGGCCTAAGGGACTGCATGGGACTTAGGGAAGGACTCCAATACCTAGTTGGGATCGGTGGGCGGGGTCCGGGGAGAGACGGCAGGGCTGGAGGCGGCCTCAGGAGGCTGGGCCTGCAGATGGGGACCCGAAAGGGGCGGGGCCTGAGGGTCTAGTGGAACAGGAGGGCGGGGCCCGGGAGATGGGGATCTGGTCGAGGTCCCCTGGCATTTATGGGGGTGGGTGGTGGAAAATTGGGAAGGGTTTCCGGGGCGCTGGGGGAAACCTCAGGAAGAAGGGTCCAATGCAAGGGGGTGCTAGGATGTAGAGAAGTGACAGGTTCCTTTGGGGGGCTCTGTGGGGCTCCGAGAGGTGCGGAGCCTGAGAGAAGGTGTCTATGAGGGTGGTGTGCAAGGGCGCGAACGGCTAGCTGATGATGGGGGGCTGGACCTGAAGGTTTGGAGACGGTTCGATCCAGGAAGGGGCTTGGGATACGAGTGTCCCGGCCGGCGGGAAACCGACAGTGCGTCCTGGGCTGCAGGAGACGGACTCCGCCGGTGGGACCGCCCGCGGCCCGGGAGGATCGGGCCTCGTCGTCCCGGGAGCGCTCCACGTCGCGTGGCCGCGGCACCGCCCGCTCGTCCTCCCGAGAGAGCGGCCGCGGAGGCCGGGGTCGAGGCCGCCCTGCCCGCCCCTCGCCCTCGCCCACAGGTGTGTGCCGGGCGCCCGTGGGAGGGGGTGGAACGGACTAGAACGCGGAGGAGCCATCCCGTAACCCCGCCTCCTCTTCTCTCCACCCCCGCCCCGCCCCCGTCCTAGGTGGTCGCGTGCCCCGTTTCGACCCCACAGCCTTTGTGAAAGCCAAGGAGAAGAAGCAGAGAGAGATCAAGATGAAGTTAGCGCGCATTTCCCCTCTCCTGCCCATACCCCGCCCCTTTGCCTGGTCCCCTGACCTGTGCCCTCATCTATCCCGGTCTCCATCACCTGTCTCCATCACCTGTCGCCTGCTCCATCTCTCCCCTTCCCCTAGCGGCTCCTTCTTCTCACCTGACACCCCCTGGCACGGTCTGTGACTCCGCATGCTTTCTCCCTACTTAGGCCACGTGACCTCAGGTGGGTCAGCGGCCTTGGCTGTGGTCCCCGGGGGCGCAGCGCCGCCCTTCCCCATATTGCTTGGGCGCACAGGCGGGCGTCTCCTTCCCGCTCCCCAGGCAGCAGCAGCGGAACCGACTGGGCAGCGGAGGAAGCGGGGACGGCCCGTCCATCTCCTGGTCTCGCCAGACTCGGGCCCCCGCCGCCGTGAGCGGCCGAGGGGACGCGGCCACCCGCTCGCGGAACCGCCTCCTCGGGTAACGGGGCGGAGCGCGGCCGGCGGGCGGGCGGGGCGGCGGGCGGGGCGGAGGCTGAGCGCGTCCTTCTCCCCTAGTGGACAGTGTGCGCAGCCGCGGCTCGTCCGCCAGCTCCTGCAGCGAGTTGGAGGATTTCTCGGAATCGCTGCCTAGAGGGTAAAACTCGGGCTGGGGACCGACCGCCTCCAGCGGGTGTCTGCGGAGACTGGAAACAGTCTTCTGCGGGGAAACTGGGTGCTGGAGCCTTGAAACGACGGAGGGCGGGGTGGGAGGGCCCAAAGACCCCCAATGGTCCCTGATTCCTCCCTCCCCCAGCGCTGGCCGCCGCGGGAAGCCGCCCAGCCCCACCACCTGGAGCGGGTCCAGCAGGGTGCGTGTCCTTCTCGGGCCCTGGAGGAGGTGGGGCGGCATGACACCACCGGAAGCCAGGTCGGGGGGATGCTGGGGGCAGAGGACGCTGGTCAGAGCACCTGCTCTGGCCTCGAATTGCCGGATCTCAAACCTGGCTCCCCATCCTGTCACGTCTGACTCACGGTAGTTACTTAGCTCTCCGTGCCTCGGTTTCTTTATCGGTGAAGTGGGCTTGGTTAGACTATTCACGTCAAGGGTTCTGGGGCAGATGCGAGGAGGTCATTTTGCACAGAGGAAGTGCCCCTTAGGTGCCAGCCTTCATTTTTTCTGAGGTCCTTAGGTTCAGAATTTCCGGTAGGATGTAGGGGGCAGGAATAGAGGGAGGGTGCCTCACCCCCTCGTGCCTCCCCCAGCAGCAGAAGGCCACGCCCCTGGAACGCGGCCGCCATCAGAGACGCCTGGCCCATTCGGGGGGCTGGGTCCCCATCAAAGGTGAGCCTGGGCCTCCTCCTCCCCCCCCACCTGCCCCAGGGCGGGCTGGGATGGCGCCCAGGGCGCTGGTTGGCCGCGAGCTCCCGGGGCTCAGGCCCCTCCCAGCCCCATGCCCCCTGCTCACGCAGACTACAGCTCGGACCACCAGGCGGCCGACATGGCCGAGATAGACGCCCGCCTGAAGGCCTTGCAGGAATACATGAGCCGGCTGGACACGCGGTCGTGACCGGGTAGGGGAGCCGGCCCCTGCACCCCCCTCCCCCGGGAGTCGGCGCGGAGGCGGGGCCTGCGTCCTTCCGGCCCCGCCCAGGCCCCGCCCCTCCTGCCCTCCGGGTCTCAGACTTGAGGCCCTGACCCCGACCCCTCCCCCTGCCTTGCCTGCTAGGAGGGGGGCTGGGTGCGTTTTGTAAATAAACTCTCCTTTGGGATCCCTCAGCTTATGACTAAGGGTGGCGGAGGAGAGGGAGGTGTAGGGAATGGGTGCCGGTGGCATTGGGACCTGTGTGTGTTTCTGGGCCCGTCTGTGCCTGGGAGGCAGCTTGGGGTTCCGGCTCAGGAAGAACTCCTGCCCTCCCTAAAGCAATGAGAGTGGGGGTCAGGAGCGGTGGTAGTGAGCAGCCCGTCCCCAAAGGAGTCCAGGCAGAGAGGCACAGACGTCGTTGGCTGTGTGGTGGAGAGGAGGTGTTTGCAGCAGGGTTCATTGCCCCAGGGGACCCCGAGCTGCTGTGAGTGACTCGTGGGTCGACTTGGTGCTGATTTCTGCCCTCTGCCCGGAGACCTCTGGGTTCTGAGCTGTGACGTGGCTTCGGAGCTGGGATCTCGGGGGTCTTGGTTCAGGGTTTGGGTCTCTGGGTTCTGGGCACCAGGGAGGACAGAGTGCTGGGAGCTGGGGGAGTGGTTGGGTCATGAGGGAGGCAGAGAGGAAGGGAGGCAGGTGGCAGGACACAGGGTCACAGTGAGTGCATCTTTATTGGAGGGGGAGGCAGGGGGTTTCTGACTGGAGTGGGCAGGCAGGGCCTCAGTATCGGTAGTGTGGCCAAGTCCGGATGATATCATAGAGCCGGTCACCTGGAGAGTCTGTGTCCCGCACGTCCCGGTGTCCTTTGACCTCATAGTTGGTCCTCAGGGCGCCCCGAGCCACACCACAAGCCAGCAGACTCTGGGCTGCCCTGAGGGCTCGTTGCGGGGGTGCCCGATCTGGGGAGGCAGAGGCAGGAGTCAGGCTGGGCCCTGGACAAGCAGAGGTCCAGGGGGCAGTGGTTCGCATGGTGCCCTCCCAGCTGGGGCCCACAACCAGCTCTGCCACTCCCTAGCCGTGGCTCCACCTCTCTGTGCCTCAGTTTCCTCACTGTGACAGGACAGAATCATGGCAGCTGGCCCCAGGGCTGTGGGACGATAACATGTCACTTTGTGCACAGAGGAAGCCCTCCGCAAGGGTCGCTGTCAAGATCCTTGCTGAGCCTCCTTTCTCGGCTCCAGACCTCGGGCTCCTGCCCAGAGGGTAGTGGCCATTCACCCTGTGCTCCTTCGGGGCCGTGGACGGGCCCAAGACCCTGGTACAGATGACCGAGTCCTCCCCAGGACCGCGGGCTGGAAACGGTCATGTCCAGAGGGGACAATGAGGCTCCGAAAAGCAGGTCACTAGCCCGAGGTCACAGAGCTTGTAGGTGGCAGAGCCTCTGAACCACCACCCACCACGCTCTGCGGTCCCCCAGGCCCATGTCCGCGCCTGTCCCGACGGCTGGACAGTCACTTACCCATGTAGTTACCCATGAAGCTGATGCCGATGGACTTGGGGTTCCAGGTGGGACCTGAGTGGGCGCCCTGAGTGTCCCAGCCCCGGCCCTCATACACAAGCCCGTCTTCTCCGATCAGGAAGCTGTGGGGTGGGGGGTTGAGGAGTGAGGAGGGGTTTCCTGGGGAAGGAGCCCCTGTCCCTCCTCCACTCAGCAACCCTGAGTCACTACTGCCTCTATTCTGCGGATGGAGAATCAGAGAGGTGCAGAGCTGCCCACGGTCACACAGCGGGTCAGGGGCAGAGTCAGGATTTTCACCCAGGTCCCCATGATTCCCACCCACATGGTCTGACTCCTTGCTCTCTCCTGCCTCCCTGGAGAATCTGTCCTGCTCTCGATGAGTCCTCACATGCGGTCCTCCGAGGCAGGCCCTGTGTCATCCCCACTTTAAGCTGAGGAAGCAGAGACGTAGGAAGAGAGGTGCTTTGCCCGAGGTCACACCCCATGACCCCTGCCTCTCAGAACTCGCCACCAAGGAGCTCTTCCACCGTCACCTGAGCCCCTTGCTGCTTCCTGCTCCGTGCTGGGGTCCCTGAGTGACGGGATCAGGGACTCAAGGGCTGGCACCACAAGCCGACCAGACCCTGGAGCCCCAGCATCCGCCTGTGAGCTTTCCAGTCCCGGCAGGCGATCCTTAAGACCCCTCGTCCCCCTGGTCTCGGTGGAGCGAGTCTGCCTGGCATGTGGATGAGCCAGAGGAGCAGCACGTGAGCCGCAGTGTCTGCTTCCCCAGCCCTCGGCCCCCAGGGTCCCCAGTGATGCACAGAATGTCGGAACTTTCCCCTCTGGGTCCTGAACCTGCCACTTCGGAAGCCAGACTCTCAGAGTCTGGCTGTGAAGAGACTAGAAATGCCACAATGACACTTCCCCCCAATCACCCCCCCAGGACTAGGTGGTCATGGTCCTGCCACAGCCACAGCCCCTGGAAGGCATCGCGGCTCCCTGTGCGTTTCTTTATGGAGGCGTCTCCCCGAAACCTCAGCCCCACAGCAGGGGGCACAGTCAGGGGCTCATTCTACAGGTGAGGAAACTGAGGCTCAGAGAGGATGTGATGTGATGAGGAAGGGGATGCAGAACGTTTGAGTCAGACTCTGAGCCCTAAAACCTGAGCGCTGACTTCAGTCTGCTTTTCTGTAAGGCGACTGAGGCCAGAGGCTGCGGCCCAGGCTCGGCTCTGCTGACTTCATGGAAACATCTAGAATGGAGCACCTGACTCTTGGGAACAAAACCTTGAAGTTGGAGCCTTTGAATCGTAAGATTAGAGCCTGAAGAGCTGGGGATACCCTTGGAGGCTTCTAGATTTCTCTGGTTGAGGTCCTCAGACCCCCTGGCCTCCCCTCGCCCTCCCGAAGCAGTTAAGGGTGGGACCTGGGGACCTGAGTTCCCAGAAGTGGATTCTGGGGCAGCCTGAGGTCTCAGAACCTGTGGGGTCAAACGCTCTCTGGCAGTGGGACCCCGTGTGCTGGACCCCAGCCTGTCACTCTGGACAGGGCGCTGGTGGCATGGGCCCCAGAGGCTAACCTGACTGTGCCAGTCCCTGTTCCTGCCCCTCACCCTGGAGTCTGTCGCCTCACAGCAGCCAGAGGGCGCTCCATCCACTGCGCGGCCCGTCCCTCCCGAGGCGCCTGCCTTCTCAGAGCAGAGCCACGTCCTCCCTGTGGCCCACTAGGCCCTCCAACCCTCCTCATGCCATCCTGGCTTCTGTCCCTCAGGGATGACCCACGTACTGGCCTCAGGGCCTTTGCCCCACCCGCTGTCCTCCTAGCTCACTGCACTCTTCCCTCAGCTCCCCCATCCTCTTCCTTTTTATTGTCACTCCTGTCACCATGTGACTCCATCCACTGACTCTGCTCGTTTGTCCCTGCTGGTGTTGAAACCTTTGGGCTGCATTCCTACCGTTCGAGGCTGTGTCCCCATGCCAGCATCCGGCACTCGGCCTGACACATAGAAGGTGCCAATGGCAATAGTCCGTGCATCTGGGGCCCAGACTCTGTGCCAGGCGGTGTCCTAGGAGCCTTGCCCGCAGTGGCGGTTGGCGATCACGTGGGCACCATCCGCTGACTGTGCACAGGAGGAGGACACTGCAGCTCAGAGGCTGAGTGACCGGCCTGGGTCTCTGCCGTCAGCAGGGGAGCTGGGACAGGGACCCAGCCCCGCGCTCACCCAGCCTGCTGTCTGCCTCCCAGCACAGGCGCAGACAGTCTAACGGGACTCCAGGGTGGAGGGCACCTTGGTGCGTGTTGGCAAAGTCTGTCCTTCCCCGGGGAGCAGAGCTGGCCGTCAGCCCCTTCCCCTCCTCCAGCATTTTCGTGCTGCCTGCACGTGCCCAGCCCTAGGCGGTGACCCCGGAGAAACGAAGCTGCCCGGGGTGTCAGCCTGGCGGCTCTAGAACCGGGACCCCGTGTCTCCGGGGCCTGCACACCTTCCCCTCCTCCGGCGTCCCCTCCGCACTCACTTGTAGGCCACGTCGCACCAGCCCCGGGTCCGGGCGTGGTAATGCTGCACGTTCTGGACCTGCCTCATGCACGAGGCCGGCGTGTCACAGGGGATGGCCGCCGTGTGTGACACCACCACGTAGCGCACGGGCAGGTCCAGGCGCTGTTCGCACCTGGATGGCAGGGCCCCCCACTCTCTCCGGGGCACGATGGGGCCGCATGGGGTGAAGTCTTCTCGAGTCGCCCCGAGTCCCAGGAGGGTGAGAAGGGTCCAAGTGAGCAGGGCACAGGGGCTGGACATGGCGGGCGGGGCACACAGGGACGTCTAGGAGCTCGCGGCTGGCCAGGCCGCCTTTATATGCTGGAGCGGAGCAGCAGGAAAGGCCTTGCTTCACACCCTGGCGGGACTCCCAGGGCAGCTGACAGGGACCTCAGACTCTGCTTCCTCCTCTGGCAGGGCTGCCACCGGATGCGGTGTGGTTGGTCCAGGTGAGGTGGGGCGGGGGAGCCCACGACAAGGCCGGGCGGAAGGGGAAGGGCACACAGGCCCCTGGGCGCTCACCCTGCGGTTTCTGGCCGACCAGCGCCTGGATCCCTGCCCTGCCCAGTCCCCACTCCCAGAGGCCTTGGGCAATGGGAGCCTCACAGCAGAGAAAGGGCCGGGCCTCATCTCCCTCCGCCCACGGGGACTGAGGTCACCAGAGTCCCGGTTTTAAACTCTCCTCCCAGGTCCCAACGCGATGTCCCTAACTCTTTGAGCAGACTGCAGAGCTGAGCCCCGGGAAACCCGCTCCACGGCTGGGGAGCCTGAGGCCCAGAGAAGGGACGTCGGTGCTGAGACATGGGAGACGGTGGGGCCTGGTGGTCGGAGCCCTGATTCAGGGCCGGGCTGCCTGGGACTGAATTCCGGCCCCATTCTAGGGTGTGAGCTGGGGCCAGTGACCTAACCAATCTGTGCCTCAGTTTCCCCACTGCAAAATGGGAGGATAATGGAAAGTCCCTGACTCGCAGGTCGGTGTGGGATCAAATGGGCTGAAAGGGTGGAGCACTGAGACGTCGGCTCCTGCTGCCCCACAAGCGCCCCGGGACAGGGACTGAGACCTGCCCTTGGTGTGAGCCACGTGCTTTCCGTGGGGGCCATTGGCAGCTCCATTGTGCACAGGAGGGGACTGAGGTTCAGAGAGGGACAGCCGTCTGCCCAGGGCCACTCAGGGGCTTGGGGTCAGCTGTTGGGGCAGAAGGCTTTCCTGGGGCCCCTGCCCTGCCCGGGCGTTCCTCCTGCCTCCTCAGCATCTGGTGCGCTCAGGGCGGACGGCCCAGTTTGTTCTCCCTCCTTTCCTTCTGCTTCAGTGGATTAAACAGATTACAAAAGTATCACGTGCCGGCTGTGAGTAGTCGAATCGACGGGAAACGTTACTCACCTGTGTCCACTCGGTCCAGCTCCACCCCCTGAGGTCCCCGTGGAAGCCAGTGTGGGGTTTCCCTCCCCCGTATTCTCCGCGCGCAGGTGGATCACGCTCACACTCACGGTGTCATGGCACAGCGCAGCGGGCAGCTCCAGCACCTTCCGCGAGTCATCTCCTCACGAGCTCCCACAGGCCTGTGCGGGAGACGTGTCATTAACCTGCTCTTACCACCGAGGAAACTGAGGCCCGAGGGTTATCACACACGGGGAGAAGGTGGTGACGTCGGCTCAGCCACAGGCTTCCGGGCTCCAGAGATTAAGTTCTAAGCCATATTCTGCTTCCCACAAACATACGTAAGGGCACATGTTTAAAAATAAGAAAATCGATTTGCCCCCTGCCACCTAATATTTCATGTGCATCTCTCCAGGTCTATACATTGAATTCTAATTCATTCTTCACAATGGTTGTATAATATTTCATGGTATAGCTTCACCATTTTGACATAAGCTTTTCTTTTTTGAAGCTTTCCAATGACCATTCCCCGCCCCACCAATGCTGCACAAAATATTATCGAACATACAGCCCTACATGTGGGAACGTTTATAAATTTTAAATATAGACTTTCCTGGTCAAAGGGTTTACATATTTAATAGCTATTACCAGATTGTTGTCCCCCAAAGGCTGTTAGCAATTCTGCTTCCACAAATAATGTCTTGGAGCTTCCACTCACCCAGGAGTGGGTGTTCTCGCTTCTTAAATGTATGGGTATAAAGTGATATCTCTTTGTAACTTTAATTGGCATTTTTATGACCACTCAGGAGATTGAATATTTTTCTATTTGCTGCCCATTTGGATTTATCTTCTGTCAATTGCTTCTTCATCTCCATTGCCCATTTTGAAAATAAATTGCCTTGTTTGCCTTTTTGTTATGGATTTGCAAAATGAAGAAAAGAATTCCATAGCTGGGATTGCTGACTTGTTCGGTATGTACATTTTGTGTCTAAGTTCTTTTTAAAAGCACGAAAGAATAACATACACATAGAAACATACAAATGCACTTTTTATAAAGTAAATAGAATAGAATTTATAGTTAATAGAATCAACAGAGTGGAGAGCTCTATAAATATTCACACTGTGAATACACCATACATCCAGCACCCAGCTCAGGAAATAGAGCTGCATCTTAAAGTTTAATAGATATTGCCAAATATCATTCCAGAAAGTTTTAGTTTTTCTTTTCCCCCTTAATGTGACCAGTGTTAAAATGCTTTATGAATCTATGGAATGCTCCCTAATTATTGTGTTATTCATATTTCCTTGAACATCAGGCCATAATTGTCTTTTTACATTTTTATGGCTGTTTGAATCCTTCTTCTCTGAACTGTTCATCTCTGTCAATCATTTTCCGTTGGGTTGTTGTATATGGGGGATGTTAACCCCATGTCTGTCAAAGGTGCTGCAAATGTTTTCCTCCAGTCCATTAAAAATATTTTTAATGGTTTCTGTTTCCTGTCTTGCCTTAAGTCTTTCCACACCAAGATGATAAAACATTTTCTATTTAAAAAATGTTATCTGGGGCCAGCCTGATGGCACAGCGGTTAAGTGCGCACGTTCCACTTCTTGGCAGCCCGGGGTTCTCCGGTTCGGATCCCAGGTGCGGACATGGCACCGCTTGGCACGCCATGCTGTGGTAGGCGTCCCACATATAAAGTAGAGGAAGATGGGCATGGATGTTAGCTCAGGGCCAGGTTTCCTCAGCAAAAAAAAAGAAAAAAAAGAAAAAAAAAAGAGGACGATTGGCAGTAGTTAGCTCAGGGCTAATCTTCCTCAAAAAATAAAATAAAATAAAAAATGTTATCTTGTGTTTTGCTTTCAGTCCTTTACCTCTGCTGGAATTTACAATAGCTGTGGTGTGAGGTAGGAGTGTAAATTTGTTTCTAAATGGCGAATCACTTGTCCCAGCACCATTTATTAATTAGTTAGAGCTGGTTTTAAATTTCAGCCCTGACACTTAGCTGGATGACCTTGGGCAATTGGGCAGCATTTGACACAGTTGACCACTTCCTTCTTCTCGAAATGCTCACTTCCTTAAGTTCTGTTTCATAAGACTGTCTTGATTTTCCTTCTACTTCTCTGGCTGGTCTTTTGTTCTCTCTTTCAGACTCATTCTTCCCTCCTTGACCATTATGCTACACTTTTTATGCCAGGTGATCTTATCCAGATAATGGCTTTAGCCACCACTGAAATGCCGGTGATTTCTAGACTTTTATGTTGAGCCAGGAGCTCTCAGCTGAATTCTGGATCTCTGTATCCACCTGTCTCCTTGAAATCTCCACTTGATGACCCAAAGCACCTCAAATGCAAGATTTCCAAAATGGCACATGATTTGCTCCTTCAAAATCGGCCCCCTTCCAGGATCCCTGTGTCAGGGAACGATGTGATCATCTTCCAGTTACAAAAGGCAGACATCTGAGCACCATCCTTGATGAAGCCCAACTCTCTCCCCAAAACGGCGCCCAAAACAATGGCCAGCTCATAGCAGATACTCAGTAGTTACTGAATGATTGAGTGAGTGTTCCATCCACCCCCAAGTCATGTTGCTGTTCCCTCCTAAATGTCTCATGACTGAAACCACTCCTGTCTGTTTCCATCTCTGCACTCTGGTCCCGTCACCATCTCCCCACACCTGGGTGTTGCTCCCATTCCCTCAGTGACCTCCCAGCATGCGCCCGGACCCCTGGGAGGACAAAGCTCAGATCTGATGAGGTCTTTCCTGAAGGTCACCCTACAACGTGAGTCATATTTTTCCACGACTTCTCAAGAGTCTTAGGATGAGCCTCCACCCCAACCTCACCTCGCTCCCTCCGGAGACCTTCTTCCTGAGTCCCCAGCCACCCTGCCCTTCTTGCCACCCTTGAAGATGCTTTGACTTCCCGGACCCCAGGAGACTTTGTACCCACTGTGTACAGCTTTAAATAGAGGAACCTTCAGAAATTCAGCAACCTTGTACCTTCACTTGGCGATTACAAAACACTCAGCTAGGCTTTTGTAAAAAGACAGGCATATTTACACATCAGATTCCTTAGTGATACTAAGAATATCCTCATTAGCCAGGTGGGGTGAAGCCTTCTCTTATTAGAATTTTCTTTATTCTGTATCTTGTCAGCCTAATATGGAGACACGCCCTTGAGAGCATTTCCTGCAACTTCAATCTGTAATTGTTATATCACCTTGAATCCTGAGTCTGTATTACTTGTGTCCTTTTTGGATAGGAGGAAATTAGATTTGCTCCCTGTATATTTTAGGAAGTTGAATTTTTTGAGAGAGAGAGAGAGGGAGAGAGAGAGAGAGAGCGTTTTAAAGTTTCAGTACCTAGTTGTGTATTTTAGTTGGTGTTTTTTTTTTTTTAGTTCTCTGTGTAAACCACCACCACAGCATGGCAACTGATGGATGGGTGGTGTGGTTCCACAACCAGGGCAGGAACCCAGGCTGCAGAGGTGAAAGGAAGCACGGAGCCTTAACCGCTAGACGACCAGGGCTGGCTCAAAGGAAGTTGAAGTTTTAACTATTTGACTCATCATCTACCTTTATTTGGTCTTATTACAGTCACCTCAGCCAGTATAAAAATCTCTCAGGTTCTCTTGCAATTACCAAAAAACACTTGTTTTCTTTGTTGGATGAACAATGATAGAAGTCAAAATACCGGTGATCACGGCAAGGACAAATTTAAAACACACAGCAGAATGTTGATTATTTTTTTCCTGGATGTTCCCAAACCTGGAATACTCACCTCCCTCCCTCGCCCCATCCTAATTGTCACTTACTATTCCTTCAGTGTCACCTTCTCAGAGTGACAGTTCATCTTGACATCTCAGACTAGGACAAGTCCTACTATTTGCTTTCCCTACAGAATTTCCTCTAATTCTTCGTATTTAACACAAGTGAGGTTATGAACTTACCTGTACAATTCTGTGATTAATTTCGGTTTCTACTATACACTGAGGTCAATAGGTAGGGTC